GCGTGGTGGCGCATGCCTATAGTCCCAGCTACTGAGGAGGCTGAGGCAGGAGAATCGCTTGAACCCAGAAGGCGAAGGTTGCAGTGAACCAAGATCGCGCCACTGTACTCCAGCCTGGCAACAGAGTGAGACTCTGACTCAAAAAAAAAAAAAAAAAAAAAAAAAGAAGCTGCTGGTTTTAAAAGTTAGAATAATAAATCTATAACTTAGTCCCTCAGTGGGATGTTGATAAGGGAGCCAATTTTTTTAGGGTCTTTTAAGCCACTTATGGGGTTCTTTTTTAAATTGTGGTAAAATATACATAACAAAGTTTACTATTTTACCATCTTTAAGTGTATTGTTCAGTGTTAAATACATTTACATTGTGCAACCATCCATCTCCAGAACTTTTTTATTTTCACAAACAGAAACTACAGAAAGGGTTTTGATTCTACCCTTTACTAGCACACAATTGTAAAGCTGTTTCAGTGGCCTACATATCACGGGACAAACACTTGATCCAGTGGTGGCATTTCTCTGCACCTGCAGATGTTCCAGGGTCTTCTCCTTGCCTCAAAGAAGAGACTCGGTGGAGAACAATGTTAGTCTCTTCCTCTAATGGTTCCCACCAGAGGGCTGTGTGGCTTTTCTTCATGCCATCATGGGCAAAACTGCTTTCTTTCTTAAGTCTCCATTTTTCTTAAAACAAACAAAAAGTTAAATAGAAAAGAGCAACTTTGTCACCAACTTAAGACTAACTGTAAACCTCAACATAACTATATCATGGAAACAAAAATCATGTGGGTTTGTTTCCCCTAACATTATTTGGATCCTATCTCCCAGGCATTTTTAGGAAACATCTACTTTCAGGGTAACAACCCCATTTTACATAAGAAATCTGGGTTCATAGAGGCTTAGTAATTTGTCCAAGGAATCAGAGATATTAAGTGTCTTAGCTTGTGTTTGAACTTAATTGTGACCCTAACCCTTATGCTTTCTATTCTGCCACAGAATGTGGGATGCTTCAGCCTCCCAAAGTGCTGGGATCACAGGCATGAACCACCATGCCCAGCCTCATTTCAGTGTCTTTAATAGCTACTAGTTCATCACAGTTTTACATTTATTCTTGCACTAAATATTGTGTTTTAACTTTTTTGAGAAATGTATCTACATCATATAGATTTAAGAATGTACCAACTTACAGTTTGTATTGAGGTACTATCCATAATTTTATTTAAAAAACCTGTCTGCAGTTATTTTTCTCTTTTAGTTCTGTAATTTTTTAAAATTTATTTTTAGAGATGGGAGTCTCATGCTGTAGCCCAGGCTAAAGTGCAGTAGTACAATCATGGCTCACTGTAGCTTTGAACTCCTGGACTTAATGATCCTCCCGCCTCAACCTCCGGAGTAGCCAAAATTATAAGTGCGTGCCGCTATGCCAGGCTAACTTTTCAAACTTTTTGTACAGACAGGGTCTCGCTATGTTGCCCAGGCTTGTCTCAAACTCCTGGGCTGAAGCAGTCCTCCCAAAATGCTGGGATTACAAGCGTGAGTCACTGTATACAGTTTTGTAATTTATTTTTATCATCTATTTTTTTCTCATTAAGTTTTTAAAGAGCCTATCTTATTAATGTTTTCCAAGAAGTAGGTTTTAATTTCATTGAACTTCAGAATGTATTTTTATTTTGATTTGTTTGTTGGTGATAGTTCTATATTCATTCATTAGCAGATGCCCTTCTCTTTGCTATTTTCTGTCTTCTTATTTCTTTGCATTTGCTATGTAGCTATTTTTCCAATTTCTTGGTTATAATGCTTTTTTTTTTTAACTTTTCTTGTTTTCTGGTAAATTCTTCAAAATTTTAAATTGCCTTCTAAATTCTTCTTTAGCTGTGTCTCCCGAGTTTGACATCTAGAATTATAATTTTTATTCAATTGTGAATACTGTATTTCTTAATTTTCTGTTTAAAATCTTGGGTTTTTTACTAATATTATTTCTAAACACCTGAGGTTTTTAAAGTTATCTTTTTATTGTTAATTTATAATTTTTTTGTTTTATTGCATTATATTTCAAGAACACAGCCTGTGTAATATTGAGTCTTTGAGAGCTATTGAAGTTTCTTTTATGGCCCAATATGCAGTCTGTTTCTGTACTTGGTCTGTGTGTGATTTGCAAAAAATGTGCATTTTGTGTCTGTCAGGTGTAGAGTTATCTTATATCTACTATTTTGAGTATTGTCTTGTTAAAGTTATCAACGTCTTTTTTTTTTAAAAAAAAAAAAAGATGCTTTATTACTTTCTGAGAGAGGTGTGTTAAAATTGGTGTTTCGTGTTGTTTTCTTAGCTGTGATATCATTTCTTAACTGTCTTACCATGTAAGTCCAATAAACAAAGCAGATGAGAGCATAAGTGCTCTGGTTGAATCTGGAGAAAAGATCTTAAATGGAGCCTCCTCTCAATGCCCCCATCCTGGGGGACTCTATGGCACCTCTGCAGAACCCGTAAAATGGAATATTATTGCTGTAAACAGCCTACCAACTAACCTTTCAGTCTTATTTCTGATCACCCACCCACTAGTCCAGAGAATTTCCAGTTTGCAGCCAGCAGCTACCTATGTTCTCCTCCCTATCCCAGCTGCATTTTCCTCTTGCCATTTCACCCACCAAGGTTCTTTATCACATAATCAAATTGCGTACCATACTCAAGACTGCTTAAATTTTCCTAATTCCAAAAAATATTTTCTAGCCATATCCATTTTTGGAATTCTAAAAACAATTACTGGGGCCAGGCATGGTGGCTCATGTCTGTAATCCCAGCACTGTAAGAGGCCAAGGCGGGCGGATCACCTGAGATCAGGAGTTTGAGACCAGCCTGGGCCGCATGGTGAAACCCTGTCTCTACTAAAAATAAAAAAATTAGCTGAGTGTGGTGGCGCACACCTGTGATCCCAGCAACTCAGGAGGCTGAAGCACAAGAATCTGGGAGGTGGAGGTTGCCGTGACCCAAGATCGCACCACTGCACTCCAGCCTGAGTGACAGAGCGAGACTTCATCTCATAAAATAAAATAAAATAAAAGCAATTATTGGTGGCATAATTAATTTAGTATTTATTCACTGATCTAATTAATAAGTTAGTATTTATTCAGTGACCAGCCGTCGTAATGGTTGGGAATTTAAAAAATAATTGCAGTCGTTGAATATTTGTTGTGTTAACTTTATCTCTCCTATTATGCTGTGTGAGCATCTTTATTGTAATGCATGTCTTACTCGTCTCTATTCATTCAAGTACCCACACAGCATCTTGTTCTTGGTTGCCGACCAGCAAAAATGCCTTGTATTTATTCACTTCAGTGTAAATATGACTTAACTCTTTTCCTATGTAGTTAACAGTTTTGTGATCTTGCAAGTCCTTCATTTTACTGTATTTTGCTAAATATGTTCATTTATTAGTAACAAGCTTTGTTCAGTGAGAGTTCTTTAAGATTCTCTTCAAAATTCTTGTAAAGCAGATTTATTTTCATTCTAAAATAAGCCCCCCTTATGCCTTATTCTTTTATTATAAATTCATGCATAAAGTCATTTTTATGAGTTTGAATTTATCTACTCACTTATAAAGCAGTGTTTGTTGAGTCTGGTAAAGCGATGGAGTGGACTGGGCTGTCTTCTTCCCCACTTCTTCCCCATTTACCTTAAGACAAATGATTTGACTTGAGCTTTTAATTTGCAAGGTTCCCTCCTAAGGACAGCAAATGTAATATAAGTGAAGCATTAGAATGAGCATTTAGAGTTCCAAGAGTGTCACAGTCTACCAATTTGTTATTTAAAAGCTGTTGAGATGATTGCTTCCAGCCATGGTAGTAGACATGTAGCTTTTGAGTGTGGTGGCACACCTGGCCTGATCTTGTGCTGTGTGGGGCACAGGACATGCTTAAGGCAGTGCTATCCTCACACTGATTTGTCAGTGTGGTTTTGCTGCACAGAACCAACACAAGTGAGACATAGCCAGCCATCTCCTAAAACAGGTCCTTTTGACCCTAACATAGAGGTAGCAAAGTGAGACAGAAGATGGAATAAGAGAAGTATAGAACACCTATAAACTATGAGCCGCTAAGCCCTTTAACATGTATGTTGTTTAATTTTCTCAACATCCATGAAATGGATAGTAACGTTTATAGATGAAGAAGTGGAACCTCATAGAGATAGATAAAACAGTGTATTCATTGTTAGGTATTGAGTAAGTGGTAGATTTGTGGAATGAATTCAAATATGACAGCTAAACCAACACCCTTAATTCCTCTTGCTTTTGCTCCCATAACCCAGTGTTATTTGGTACCCTTCGTATTAATATATATTAATGTAATTATTTAATATATATTAATGTAATTATTTAGAATTAATTGTTGATTTTCTTTCCTACTGGACCATAAGTCCTAAGAGGAGAAAGCATGATTGTTTTGTTCAGCATTATCTCTCTAAGACCAAACACTTTGCTTGCCTTAAATCTGGTGCTCAGTTAATATTTTTGTTTCCGTTTGTAGTGCGGTTGGGTTGGGGCAGATAGGAAAGGGACCATGGTTTCTGCCACTTTGTGTTGATTGACTTAGGTAAGAAGAGTCCACAGAAAGTCTAGGCCAGTGTGGACCTGAACAATCAGAAGGTCTTATGGGTGAGTTAAACTTCTTAGCAGGAAATAAAATAATTTTTAACTGTAACCTACATCTAAGGCCATGCATGGCCTTAAGTACCTTCATTCTCAAAAATAAATTATTATAGAGGTTGGCACAGTGCCACATACTAGTAGTTCCGGCTACTTGAGGTAGAAGTTGGAGGCTGCAGTGTGCTATAGTCACGCCTGTGAACAGCCACTGCAGTGCTCCAGTCTGGGCAATATAGCAAGACTCTGTCTCTTCAAAAACAAAAAGGGTACCGTGGTTGAGAAATCACAGTAAGGATGGGGAAATGCTGACATCTCAATAATACAGATCAAGCTACTCTATTTAATGTTTTAAAAATTCTTTTAATAGAAAAAATCAGACAAAGATATGCAGATCTGCCTGGAGAACTGCACATTATTGAACTTGAAAAAGATAAGAATGGACTTGGACTCAGCCTTGCTGGTAATAAAGACCGATCACGCATGAGCATATTTGTGGTGGGAATTAACCCGGAAGGACCTGCTGCCACAGATGGACGAATGCGTATTGGAGATGAACTCTTAGAGGTGAGAAGCATATGTTTTTAACTTGTCTTTTGGTGAAGTGGATGGGTGCAGTGGATGTTCTACAGGAAAATGAGGTGAAAGAAAAGAATGATGTCAAATTATATTTCCTTCAACTACTTAAAATCATTTTTCAAAGCAAGAACAGAAATGTTGCTTGCAAATGTTATTTGCTGCTTATGTGAAAACTAATCTCACAGAATATTTTAGAAGTTCTTCAGTAAAATATCATCGAAACATATTAAAAACTTTGTTTTTAATATCAATTTTTAAATATTCAAAATTAATTTGTTTGTATATTAACCTAATTTTGGTAGTATTTATCAAAATTCTCTTTGGGCTTTGAACTAATCATATGTGTAACTGTTATTGTTCTTCAGTTTTTTGGGGCAGGCAAGTGGGGAAGATGTTACAGCCAACAAGAGCCTGTGAACGTCTCAAAAATAATAGTTAATGTCTATGAAGTTCAGGATATGGGTTAAGGTTACATAGGTTCTTTCTTTAGGAATAGAATAGACAAAAGAGAAGCTAAGAAGATGACTGATCCTCTTTAAATTACTCTAGATAATTTCATTAATAATCTGAAAAGGTTATTATTCTTCTACACTTAAATTCAAGGTATCTGTTCTGAGCTTATCTTAGTTTGATACTCATTTGGTTGTTCATTCACTCATTCTTTCAGCTAACACTTCTGAGTGTCTATTAGGACCAGAAACAGAAAAAGAGATGAAGACATCCAGTTCCTTCATTAGTATAGCTCACAGTTTAGAAGAAGAAAACAGACATGAAAAGATATTTATATTACAAAATGAGAAATGCAATAATGATGATGATATGATGATGATGATGATGATGACAATAACTGCTAAAATATACCTGGTACCAAACAGAACAACCTCTTTTACTGGTGAGATCACAAAGTAAATGATGGTGTTAGGATTCAGTGGCAGGCAGTTTGACTTGTAGCTCTCTGTAAACCATTGTGCTTTAAGGCCTGTTTGATAAAATGTTCCAACTTTAGGACATTTAGGCGAGCTAAATCACGGAGACGCTGAGTGTTAGACTGCTTACTTGAAATGAAGGCTTACTGATTTTGCATTTTATGATTTCCTCCTCAGACTTGACTCAGAATAGAATTTACAGTCATCCATAATTTTACTTGCCTAATAATAACTACTGCCACAGCTGGCCAGGTGTACCAGGAAGACCATCACCATCAACTCTTTCTTCCAATCGTTGGTTGCTTCTTCCCACTTAAAACCTGTATCTGCAAAGAAGTCACTTCCAGGAATACTTTTCTTTTCTTGTTCTTTTATGATATAGCATCCTGAATGGGACCCACATTGGGTCATAACCCTGACTAGCATAATCATTACATAAATAAAGTCAAAGATGACCTTATGTAACTAATATTATTCATTACCTCAGTTTGTTTCCTTTGGCTTATGTTTAGAGACTTCCTCAGAGATGAGACAAAAGCGATGGCGGTAGTAAAAATGATGAAAGTTAGAGCCAGTGTACTCAGTTATTACTAGCACTGCACATATGCATTGTACATATTTGTATTCAGTATTCTTAAGAACGTTTTATGGTAACAACTATTATTATCTCCATTTTATGGATGAGAAACTGGGTAAATAACATACCTAATATTGCAGAACTAAGTGACTAAGTGTGGTTAAGAACCCAGGCTTGCCAGACTCCAAGACCCATGCTACAGCCACTGAGGTATACTGTGCTCCCCATGGGACTTTTTTTTTTTTTTTTTTTGAGACGGAGTTTCCCTCTTGTTGCCCAAGCTGGAGTGCAATGGGCACGATCTTGGTTCACCGCAACCTCCGCCTCCCAGGTTCAAGAGATTCTCCTGCCTCAGCCTCCCAAGTAGCCAGGATTACAGGCAAGCGCCACCATGCCCGGCTAATTTTTGTATTTTTAGTAGAGACAGGCTTTCTCCATGTTGGTCGGGCTGGTCTCGAACTCCCGACCTCACGTGATCCACCCACCTCGGCTTCCCAAAGTGCTGGGATTACAGGCATGAGCCACCGGGCCTGATCCCCGTGGAACTTCTTTAACCAACCCAGTTTGTTTAGATTCAGGAGATTCCTGATTTTTTATGCTTTCATCTTTAGGGAATCATGTATATTAAGTCACTCTGTTGTGTTATACATATCTAGACAGAGATTTCCTGTCTTGCTTGGTATATGGAAACACTCCAAAGGCTATAATTTGGAATATGAGGATTCTTGTTCCATTCTTTCTACCTTATTAAGACTCAAGATGGAATGTCCTGTGGTATCCAGAACAACAGGAGCATGGGTATTTTATTTCTCTGTCTGACATTTTATTAGACACTGGTAACAAATGAGCTGTGGCTGCAGAGTAATGAGAGTATTTTACGGGTCAAACACAAAATTCAGCACTATGTATGCGGCAGCAAGCACTGGACTCAGAAGACCTACCATAACTTGTCTCAGTGCTTTTGATTATTGGTTATATTTCAGAAGTTGCTCAGCGTAATGTATGTAGGAGGTAAAGAGTTTTCCTTGTCTTAGACAGCAGAACATCAGCTGACATCAAATGTGTGAAGATTGTCCCCCACATGCCAAGCAGTTCTCCAGCTGACAGCAATTGAGTATCCTATGATTCAATTCAGTTCTGATACTAGGTACCTGGAGACAGCGTCAGTCCCACAGGTTAAGGGCTCAGTCCCACAACACAGTCTCCCACCACTTTAGAGGCCATTCGCAATCCCAGGTTATGACCTGAACTTCTGACCAACCAGCTCTTAATTGGGAGTTTCCATGAACCCCTACTCAGGTTTGATTAATTTCCTAGGATGACTCACAGAAGACAGGGAAACGATTTACTTACATTTAGCCATAAAGGAAGTTAGGAAGATACGGGCAAACAACCAGATGAAGAGACAAATATACAGGTTGAGGTGTAAGTGAAGGGGAGGGCAGAGTTTCCATGCCCTGTCTGGGTGTGCTACCCTCCAGACAGGTCCACATGTTCAGCAAGCCAAGAGCTATTCAAACCCCATAGTTCAGGGGTTTTTATTAAGGCTTCATCATGTAGGCATGAGCAATTATTACCTCATTCTCCCTGAGGGTCGGAACTGAACATTCCAAGCTTTTAGCCATGGTTTGGTCCTTCTGGCAACCATCTCCCATTCAAGAACCCACCAAGAGTTGCCTCATTAGAACAAAAGACACTCTTGTTGCCCAAGGAATTCCAAGGGATTAGGAGCTCTGTGTCAGGAACCCAGATCAGAGACCAAATATTAAAACAAAAAAAGATTTGAACTCCTGCTGGAATACAAAATCCTTGAGCATCTGCAAACTAAAAACTGACTCGAGGGTTTTTTTCCTAGTCATTGGGAATGTAGAGCAGTGTGTCTTGCATGTCATCGGAAGAATAGATTTTTGTTTTGGTTTTGTTTTGAAAATGACTCTGAACATTTATTTCCATTGCAATTTCTGTGGCTAAGAAGACTTAAACTTTACAAGTATTATCCTTTTAAGATCATTTTAATTTTAGTTGAGTGCAGAGGGCTTTTATAACAAATGTGCAGAAATTTTGGAGGGCTGTGATTTTTCCAGTATTAAACATGCATGCATTCATCTTGCAGTTTATTTTCTCATTGTGTCTGTATATATCGCTTTTCTCTGCGGCATGATTTCTCTTTTGATAATGCCCTTTAGGGCACAACTAGTCATCGGTAACTGAAAGTATCTTAATCATTATGGCTGCTTCTGTTTTTTCATGAACAAAGGTTATTCATATGTTAGCATATAGTTTCTTTGCACCCACTATTTATGTCTGAATCATTTGTCACAAGAGAGTGTGTGCTGATGAGATTCTAAGTTTGTGTGTTTAAACTTTTTTTTGAGTGAGGGAAGAAAAAGCTGTATGCATTTCATTGCTGTCTACAGCTTTCTTTCAGATTATGTTCATGGGTTTGTGTGTATACAATATGAAGAATGATCTGAAGTAATTGTGTTGTATTTATGTTTTTTCACCAGTCTTTGATTAAATATAAAGGAGAACCCCCAAAAAAAAAAAAAAAAAAAAAAAAAAGATGTACCTAGCACCTAGCACCCCTGTTGCTCAGGAAATTACAAGGGTTTTAGGAGCTCTGTGCCAGAAACTGCAAGCAGAGAACAAATATGTATTTCTGATTATATCACAATAGCACAGCATGGTGAATAGTTAACTGTTAATTAAAACAGACTTCCACCCCCTTAGAAACTTCAGGTATCTGTTTGCTAAGCTGGAGTCTGGAAGAACTCTGCTGGATAAAAAATAAGAACATTTTGCTTTATTGGACTCCTTCTATTCTTTCCTTTGACTTTCTGAATTTGGCCCTTTCATTGCAGTTCAGCAACTTCATCTTCATGCAGAGACGGAATGAGCAGAAAGATTAAACATACCAATAACTTAACTCCCCATCACTCCACAAAGATTCTGTAGTTAAAAAAAAAGATAACGAATACAAAAGATAACGATACAAATCGTTGGAATACAGATTCTGGCATCATGTATCTTTGGCTAATTGTTTATCTTCTCTAAGCCTCAGCTACCTCCTTTTTCAAATGGAGATTATTAATTCATTCAGCAAATATCTTACTGTGCATCTGTCATATAGCAGGCACTGTATGAACAAAGTGTAGATTCTCTATTGGTGAACAAAATACATAATACCTGCCCTCACAGAGCTTCCAGTCTAGTGATTGTACAGCATCAACCTCAGAAGATACTGTGGGAATTAGTAAGAGTATCTGGTACATAGCAATACCTTAATACATTTCGGATGATTTTGATTTTATTCATATTTTGTTCAGAGTTGTTTAGCTCAGTTCTTTTTAGTTCATATATATTAATGCCTTTGTCTCTGAAAGTATGTCCCATAGAGAAGTCATCTTTTTATTCCTTGATGGCTCCATACAACATCCTGAAGAGCTGGGAGAATGGAAAAATGCATATACAAGATTCTTTTTGTT